TATTACATAATAGTTCAGCACTCTTATTTGTTTCTAACAAAATTCTCCTGATTCTTAGTACTTTGCTTAGCTTTTGGAACTCAACTTTCGCTATCCCAATGTGCCTTCAGTTTTCAATTATTATTGTTATATTTATTTATACTTTTCGTCTTTCTACCTCCCAGCTTCATCTATACCAGTGGTTCTCAACCGGGGTCTACATGGACCCTAGGGGTCCATGTAATATTACCGGGGGTCCACAGGCAAAACTCAATTGTTGTGTTAATTAAAAATAGTAATAATAATTATTATTATAATTATAGTAGAATATTTTATTTGTATTAAATTAGTTTTCATTTAAAAATAAAAGCTTAATCGTATACTATTTCTTTGATAATTAAAACCTTAAAATTTATATTAGTGAAGAATAGAAAATTGTTCTTATGTCCAATAGCTATGAAGGGGTCCACCAAGATAAAAAGAAGGGGAAAGGGGTCCATGGGTAAAAAAAGGTTGAGATCCACTGATCTATACTATTGTTATAATGAAGACAGTCACCAGTCGGCGATGACGCAAGGGCGACTACTTTAAAAATACTAATATTTTAGTTTTCTCCCTTTACGCAAAAAAAAAAAAGTTATAGACAAAACAATATGCAACTACACCTAGTTTTTCTAAGATACATAACTGCTATATACTTTGTCTGTGTTATGTTTTAGCAACTGTACATTTTACCATTCATCATGCATCTGTAAACATTATGTGAATGGTTATCGAAACTCCTGAAGGAATATGGTGTTACTGGCACAACTAAAAAGTTGTAAGGGCAAGGATGGTAAGAAAGAATTAAAAGAAAAAATACTTGGTTGTTACTTGGATAATACGGCCTCTTGCATGTTATTGCTATTCAACCGTTTTTGTTTTTTTTTTGGTTTTGTATTTTTTGTTTGTTTCTTTTTATTTCTAAAATAAAAATTGTTTTAATCAAGGACTTCCCCCAAAATAATGGTTGCTTAAATAAAATTCCGTACTGAAAGGGGGACTTTTTTCACGGTGGGTACAGTTGCAAACGAAATACTTCTTCCTGCGGGCAGACGCTGGTCTGGCAGAGAATTTGTTTTTAAAAAAATCTGTCGTTTTCAAGCTGAAGTTTTTTTTTTTTTTTTTTTTTTTTTTCGAAAAGGCGTCAAATGATAAAAATGAAATTTAAGTTATCTCCCGTATTCATAATGAAGAAATGAACATGTCGATTATTAACTTAATTTTTTTTAATTCCCAGAAAATGAATATGAATGTTTTTTCATTTTAAATTTCTGGTAATTAAAAAAAAATCCGTAAAAATCAAAATTTGATTTCATTTAATAATGAACTATAATAGTCCAGAAGAAAACGAAACAGGCGCCTTAAAATGTGGAAAAAGAATTCGTTTTTTTTTATAATATTCTTTTCTAGAAAATTCAAAAGGTATATTACATTTTAATTATAAGTTTACTATTTCTCCATGCGCAAAAAAGGGTTGATAAGCCGTGAAAAAAAAAATCAATCCTCCTAAAAAAGCCATCTAAAGGGCAAGATGTTAAATTGTAAAAAAAAAAAAAAAAAAAAAGCTATTACTTTAGGGAATATTAAGACGTGTTTTTTTTTATCATTTCACCCCAAGCAAAGCAATAAAGACACTAAGACGTGGTGGTGGTGGTGTGTGTGTGTGTGTGGGGGGGCTTACCGAGTGTGAAATACTACAAGAAAAGGAGAAACATTATTCTGGGGCGAGAACAATAAGGAATTTAGACTAACTTGGGCCTTCATATCCATAAAAAAAGGAGTGTCAAAAGGACGGTTTTTCCATTGACACTACTATTATTATTTTAACTACCTTCACTCCTCAGAAATGTTTATTGTTTTAAAAAGTGACGACTATTAGAGAATTGTAATAAAACCTAAACATATGAAGGTGAATTTATACATTTTCTTTGTTCTTGAGAAGTTACAACAAAAATAATAAATATCGATTGTTCACTATATTGTTTATTGGAATGATTGGCAAAACATCGGCCAATCGATATGAACTTTATGCTAAAAAACAAGGATTTACTTATAACTGCTTCAAATATTTTAATAATTTAGTAAATGTTTATAAATTTATGAATAAAATTATTTTAATATTTATTTCTTTATAAATTGGTAAACGATAAATATTGCATTAATTCTTAGAATGTTAGGACCAATAACATTTGAAACACTTCTTTGGAATTTGTCAAGAATCTTCCGATATACAGCAGAAGCACCAAATCAAATATAGCATTGGCAGCAATATTCAATGCATGGACGATTGGTAGATATATAAACGTCCAAGAATATGTTTTCTATCCAGAAAAATCGTCTGGTTTCACAGAGTGAACCAACTTGTCTAACAGCAAACTTAGCAATTGATTCAATCATTCTACTCCATGCCAGTGGAAAATGTGAGACCATGAATGTGCAAGGTGTTGCTCTCCTGGAGGTCAGCAGCAGCCATACTGACAGGAAAGGCAGAAATAGTTCTCTATCATGACTGTAACTGCAATCTGCTCAGCACAGTTGCAGCATAAACAACAGGGTCTTGGAAAAATAAGCAATCTTTAATCTTCGGATAAAAAAGTAAATAATAAAGATTTCGGTGATAGTATAGATATCTACAGAGGCATTTGCGACCTACCATAAATGACGATACACACATTATTGCTGGAAAATGCCCAGGGAAAACGATGGCTTGTTTACTTTTTTTTTCTTTTTAAATGACATCAAATCACTTTACAAACATTAAAATCACTATTTGATGATTTTTGTCTTTGATTTTTTTTAACTGTTTTTTAACCAGTTCACTGTCTTTTTAACCCTAACCCCAACATATTTCATATTTCCAACAGTTGGTAAAGAAAATGATAGATAAAAAATAATACGTAGTTACAAAATGCACAAAAAATTCGCTTTAATTTTTACTAGACTTCCAGTGATGACGAGAAACAAGTTTTTCAATCGAAAGTTAGAATGTTGTAATAAAGACAGAAAATTTTTAAAAAGTAATTAAAAATTACCTTGTTCTTTTACTCATAGTAACATATAAACATTTTGGCGATAACATTTTGTTTTCATCAAGTTTGACGTCTTTTTCATCAGATTATGCGCTTTTTTTTTTAGCGATCTCATGGGGATAGTAGAAAATGGGCAGTAGACATCAAATCATTAGTTATGTTATCAGCACCAAGATTTCCTTATAGTTGGTTCGCATACTTTAATTTAGTAAATATATGTTTATAAATTTATGCATACAAAATTGTTTTCATATGTATTTCTTTACAAATTTGCATGATTAGTTTTTTAGAATGTTTTTTAATTATAAAATTATTCTTGTAAATATCTAATAAGTATTTTTTGTTGCAAATTCTCAAGAACAAAAAAAAATGTATGAATTCACTTTCATCATATAGGTATTCTAATCATCACTTTTTAAAACAAACACTGCCGAGGAGTGACGGTAGTTAAAATAATAGCGATATCAAGGGAAAACCCGTCATTTTGACCCACCAGTTTTTTTTTCGCGGGGGGGGGGGTAGGCACGAAGGTTAAAGATTGATGCCTATCAATGCGCTTGCAACAGAGATTAGCAAGTCACCCGAATAGACTACAATTTAGGGCACGGAAAAAATATGATAAAGAAAGTTTTTTACCTATTAAAAAAAAAAAATGAACATCTCTCATTGGGACCTTTCAAAGTCTATATCTGGTAACTTAAAGAACAAATGGGAAGCATTTATCAATTTAAAACATGTTTCACTTTTATTAAAGCTTCATCAGAGAATCAGATATGGAGAAAAAAGAAATTCTAGTTAATTTTTACTTTTTAAATCAAACAACATCAAATTAAAAGTCCCAGAGTTTCTTTGTTCTTTTTCTATATATTTCATTCTCTAGTGAAGCTTTAATAAAAGTGAAACATGTTTTAAATACATACACATATAATTGTTTTCTTTATTAAGTTAATCAAATGCTTGTTTTGGTCAAATACACAATATGTTTTTAAACAAATGCCTAGTTTATATTCACAATGTATTGTAAATCTATTACTGAATTCTGGATTAATTAATTCAGAATAACTTTTTATTACATTGTATAAATTTTATTTAATGAAAATCAAATATTTGAATGTTCATAATAAAAAACACAAAAAAACATTTTTCTTCTAGGTCAGCCTTGTTGCCGCTTGACCTACCATATAATTTTCTTCTTTGTTTGTTTTGTTTTTTTCGTGAAAATGAAAAACACCGGCAAATTGATCAGAATTCGGGTTATGTCATTTTTTTTTTTTTAACTTAACACTTGTAATTTTTGGGACTTAAAAATAAAAAAAGCAAAATTGTATCCCCACCTCCATGCCGCCTCTTGACCACTTGAAATATAATTTAATTTTAAAGCCAAACAAAAAAAACAAAAAAAAAAAAACAGTTATTTTATTTTTAAAATAATTTATCAATCCGTAAGCATTGAGCGATTTTTTACGTCATTTTTATTTTTTTAAAAAAACAAAAAAAAAAAAAAAAAAAAAAAAAGCAATCAAAAATGTGAAAATTTACAAAAAATTGATATGATCCTTTGGTAAAAAAAAAAAACAAAAATTGTAATAAAATAAACCAAAAAACTTATTTTTGTAGTTGTTTTTCTAGTCGAATATTTTGAATGAATTAAAAAGAAATTCCTCAACTTTCCCCCACCCAGGGAAACACTTTCAAGGATGATTTCTCAAAAAAAAAAAAAAATATTTCCATATCAGATTCTTTGACACTTGATCAGATAATTTGTTTCTTTTTTGCTTAATTGCAGATGCACTAAAAAGTAAATAAATATTATAAAACACCAGTAAAATCCGACATCAAAAAAAAAAAAAAAAAAATCTCACTTGTTTAGTACGTTTTACGACAATGTAGTGACTTAGTTACTTGAATTTACCTTTCCTAAATGAAATTTATGTTTATTTCTTTACGTACCTGGGAAAGTGATTGTAAACAAAAAGTTGAGGTCGGCAGCAGGTGAGACAAAATACATAGCAGAGATAGCAGTAGGGACACACGGAGGACAATGTCCACCCCAGCAGTCAAGCCATATATGGGCAGCAGAAAAAGTGTGGACAAAAGGAGAAAATCCAAATTACAGAACGTCCACAAGGAACAAATGCCGCAACACATGATTTCTTCTCAACACAAGAAGAGACAAAAACTCTCTTTCATTCAATAAAGTTAAATGAAAAGGTGTCTTTTTATCGGATTTGTCACATCAGTCGGATACATCGGATATTTAAGTAGAAGCTGAAATCGATTTAACAAGAAAAATATACAAAGAAATGTTATTTATCAAACGAACAGTGTCGCGACTTTACGGCAAAACGAAGTTCATGCTTTCCGCCATTTTGAAAACGAAAAGAGAAACTGATAAAACTTAAAAAAAAAGTTTATTCTTTTTAAACTGTTAACTCTTTTTTTTTTTCTTCAAAAAGTTTAACTATTTAATTAGTAGATTACAAATTAATTTGTGGGGTAGTTAAAATTCTACTTTATTCTGGCGATGAATGGAATCATTTTTTTACTTAAATTTTAAAATCATTGAATACTTACTTACGTATTTTTTAACTTAACAGAACTTCTTTGAATTGGCAGATATTGACCGTTAAACCAAACGTTTTATTTATTAAATAAATGTTTTAAATTACTAGTTATTAAATAAATTACTAGTTATTATCCGTGAGAAAAATATCACGTATATTTAAATATCTGAGCTTGCTATTTTTTTTTTTTAAAGTTTTTACTTTTTTTTTTTAGAAAAGTAAATAGATACGTACGTCAAAGTGTAGTATCTGTTCAAGAAAAGAAAGTTATGAACAAAGAAAAAAAATAAGTCCCACTGATCATAAAAAAATGACCATCTTTAATTGTAAGCCAAAGTTTAATTTGCATTTTCTAAAAATAGATAAATGGAAAATACTAAGTTGGCATACACAGAAATGGTGATTTAGATAACAAAAAAATAAAGATATTTTTTTCTAATTAACCAGAAAATTATTATACACTATTTATTAATTGCCTTGGACCCCAATGCCTGCTGGTGTCAGCAGTATTATGGATAATCCCTTTACAGTGGGATTATCCATAGTTTTTTGTGTTCTTTTTTATTTTTTACACACATAGTATTTGAATTTGATGTTTGATCATCTTTATACAATTTCAGCTGGCTGATTGATTTTTTTTCCATTTTAAATTCAGAGTTATCATTTTATTAAACTGGTTGCCAGTTGCAGCTAGAGAGTCCTGTCTGCGCAGCTACTTAACCCATAACTGCAGGGAGATGGGTCCATATCTTTCCCTAGAACATTAATGTGAAAGTGAATGCAACAAAATTGACAACTACTGAAATTCAGCTCACCATTTTCTCGTTCTAAGCCACTATTACTCACCCTATAAAATAATACCTTGTGCCAAATATATAATGAACCTAGAACACTGAATGCTTCATCAAGCTGGATCAGTAGTTGAGTTCATTCCCCACTGTCAGCTGTACATTTTTGCTAGACTAAGCAAAGTACATATCTGAAGAGTCTAGAATACCAAAAATAGTCTGTTGTGTTATTTGCCCTAACATTCCTAGGGAAAAATAGCAATCCATCTAGTCTTCCCCTCCAGGATGGGTTAAATAAAAGGATAGACTGATTTCTCTAATAGCATCCAGTCTAAGAAGAATACTTTGAATTTAAAACTGTGGAGAAGACAAGAGGAAACTACTCCACTACCTTTCCCAAATGCTTATGGGAATTCACAGATAAGTTAAAAAAAGAAAAGAAAACAAGTCTATGGTAATGATATAGGTGAAATTAGCTGTTTTCTTATAAGGAAACATTTGACATTCATTGACAACTGTTAATGCTACTCTCGGAGGAAATTTATAAAATCTTTTTTTTAAAACAGTTTTTTTAAATTAACCTTTAAAAGTCCACGGTTGCCACTCTTCTAGTCTCATAAGAGCTTCCTTCCAAACCTTTTGTTTTGGACACTGTGGAAAGTTAACAACTTGATTATACAGTGTAACCCGGATATAAGAGAAACCCGGATATAAGAGAGATTTTATCTGGTCCCAAATTAGAGCCCATACTTACCTAAACAAAATAGACCAAACCCGGATATAAGAGAAACCCGGATATAAGAGACTTCTTCTCCGGTCCCGACAACTCTCTTATATCCGGGTGACACTGTACCATTAATCTTTATCCTAATTACCATTTTGGTTGTTGCCGTTGGAAGTTTTCAAATGATGTAGTTTTTGTTATTTTGTAAATCATTTTTTTGATTCTATAGTCTATGAAATCTGATCTTTCTTGAAGACCCATGCAGTTCAATTGCTGGAAACCATTTTTAATAATTGACCTGTGAAAACGGTTACATAGACCAGGAATGGGAAACCTTTTCTGGCCAGTGGGCTGCATGAGAGATGGCACATAATAAGGTGGGCAGCACAACTAAAAATATCCAAGGTAAAGGAAGTTAATAACATATTGTCACATTGAGTTGACCCAGATAATGGGTAAGTGAGGAAGTTAAGGTTTATTTTCCCATTTTCATTTCCCCCATTATGGGCATTATCATATCCATGATATAGTAACACTTTATTTCATGAATGGAATGATAAACATGCTTTGTTCTCAAGAGAGTTTTATGCCGTTAAGTATTACACAAAATTATATATACATATTTACAGATGTCCCACACAGAGAAACTACACTGCTATACAAACAGTGTGAATGTAGAATGAACAGATAGTGTTTATGCATAATAATAGTTCTCTGGGTCTACTGGAGATTATTCTGTGTTTCTGGAGAAGCCATATTTAAGATTCTGCTATGTCACTACTGAAGGCATATTCCGCAAACAGGAAACGACGAGTCCTGTGTTTTTCTCAACATAACAACTGCAATCCAAAGATATTTTCTATATCTGGTGAAGATATATTTCCATAGGAGAACAGTGCTGTGAGCTTGTAAGCTGCACCACTGCCAAAACAGAAAAGGCATGGATAAAAAACAAATCTTTTATTTTATTTTCTACCCATTCTGAAGGATTTGTTGCAGGGATGCTGGTCAAGTTGGAAAACACATGTCTCCTGGTATATTTATCCCACAACAAAAATGGCAGTCTTGGAATGTGAGTCCAGGTAATGGATGAACAAAATAACAACAAAACTATATATATATATATATATATATATATATATATATATATATATATATATATATTATAATGATTTAAAATATTTTTCTTTGCTACACAGGAATTACCATGTTTCAAAAACTGAAGCTAAAAACTTCAAATTTAATTATATAATTAAATTAAAAGCATTAGTTCTGTTTCATCTTCTGGCAAATTATTCCAAAATTTGCTTGAAGATGAAACAGAATCAATGCTTTTAATTTAATCATATAATTAAATTTGAAGTTTTTAGCTTCAGTTTTTGAAACATGGTAATTCCTGTGTAGTGAAGAAACTATATTTTAAATCAGTTAATTTATAATATTTATGCTCTGTAAATTTACATTGAGCACTGTTTTGTAAAAATAAAAATATCAATAAGAACACTGGATTATATATCTTACTGTTCTTCTTTTTATTATAATATATATATATATATATATTGTGTGTATTTAGGCAGCATATTTTCATTTATACACATTTCATTAAATAATATAGACAAGTGTTGTCTATTTATTTTATGTAAATTTTTTCGTAACATCTGATAAGTTTAATAACATTATCGTTTTAACAATATTGATCCATATTTTTTAATGGATCAATAGAAATTTCTTTCTTCGCTTAATCCATATGTTTTTAAATTTATCAGATGTTACGAAAAAATTGACATAAAATAAATAGACAACACTTGTCTATATTATTTAATGAAACGTGTATAAATATATATATATATATATATATATATATATATATATACAAATGATAAGTATGTATTAACAGAACAAAGGTATACATAGACAATAGAATATTGTTGCATGTGACAAAACAATGAATATGAGAGAAGGAAACATTTAAGCTAGTGAAGGTGTTTGTGTAGAAGTAAGTGTAACAAATGTGTGTGATAGACACGTGTATATATGTATGTGTGTGAGAGAGTTCAAAAGTCAACAGAGGATCAAGGGAAGTGGACACACCTCAATGGCAGAGTTCTTATTTATGTGTGAGCTGCATCTTACCATCCTTGGATGAAATCTGAAAAGAGAATGACAGAGTATGTCACTTGTTATTTTTAAGCTTAGATGCGTCCTCTAGTGACATTTTTTTAGGAAAGTAAGCTGGGTAACTCCACAGATTATATCTCTCAACTCAGAAACTTAAAGCAAAGAACATACATATATATATAGTACCCCATATGACAGTACAACTCAGAGTTTCATGCACCGCACAATTGTCAGGTACCCGTGCATGGTGCATATGATATTTTCCTATATATATATTGCAGATCATAACTTTGTATGTGTGCATGAAACTTTGAGTTGTACTGCTGGTGTTGGGTTTTACGTATATTCATTAATAAATACTTAACAGTTCTGTTGTTTTGCATTGATCATTGTTTTAATTACACCTAAGGATATATATATACATATATATAACACTAATATAATAGCATCATCTACATGCAAAAAAAGGCTAAAAATAATGGAAGCCTTATTATTAAAACCAAAAAAATCCAACACGTAATAATATTAACTTTGAACATGGATACAATATCTTGACGTGTTTTGAAAAATGAAAACATTTTATAAAATATACATATAACAAACTATTTCTTATTTAACAGTTAAAATATAATCCTTGAAAATGGCTAAATGTATAGCCGAAAGCGCTCGGATAAAAAGAACATTCAGACAGTTTTTATGTAATTTATCATCCGAAAAGAAAAAAATTATTAGATTGCATGATAAATTGTATAAAAAACTAAATAAAAGCACCTTGTGCATTGTATTTAATGAAATGTGCATGAAAGAAAGATTGCTGCCTAAATACACAAATATATTCATATATATATATATATATATATATATATATATATATATATATATATGTATATATATATATATATATATTTGTATGTGTACACTTGCATGTACATTTATTTATTTTTTTTAATTTTTTTTTTTTAAGCATCACGCCCCGAGCAAGGCGTGAAGCCACTAGGATGCAGGGGGTTGCAGAAGATTTGGAGCGAGAGCAGATAGGAGTGATAGAAGAAAGGATGAGGAGAAGGATAGTGGATAGATCAAGGTAACTGGAGATGTTGATTGACATTACATTTGAATAGTTGTAGATTATAGCTCTCAGGGAAACAGTAATAGGGAAGGGTGTTCCACAGGCGAGAGGTGCGAGGTATGAAGCTATTGGAGTAGAAGAGAAGGCTATATTTAATAGTTTCGACAGTGAAAGGGTGAGAGCGGGATGCCAGCCTCGGAGGGGGCTTGAATTCATGAAGTCTGGGAACCAGTGAAAGCAGCTCATTGGCACAGTTACCATGAAAGTATTTGTAAAAATGACAGAGAGATGCGACGGCGCGTCTGTGAGAGAGTGACTGTAGACAAGATACCAGATCAGGGCCAATTATATTATATATCCGCCTCTGGATCTTGTCAAGAACTCCGAGGTAAACAGAAGGTGCACCACACCATATATGGCAGCAATACTCCATGCAAGGCCGAATGGTTGATTTGTATATTTGAAATATTGATTCCGTGGTGCGGCACAGAGAGCCAACTTTCCTTGCAGTGATTTATTTGATTATATATAGTACATTTATTTATATTTATTTATTTGATTATATATATATATATATATATATATATATATATATATATACATATATATATATCTCCTGCATACAAGCTGCTAGTGGCCCACTGGTGGACCACCGATGGCAATGTTAGTGGTATTCTGGTGGCAGCCACCAGCGGGGTCACAAGTGGGCCTCTAGCACTCCACCAGTAACATTGTCGAGATGAACACACATTGGCAGATTGGGGGCTTGCGTTTGTGTATATATATATATATATATATATATATATATATATATATAGAGAGAGAGAGAGAGAGAGAGAGAGAGAAACCAAGCGAAAGAGAGAGAGATATGTAGACATAGGAATCAATATTGCATAGTGACTGTCAGTTTATTATTGAAACAGGAAACTCGATCACCATGCAGTGTTGATTCCTGTGGCCATACTATGTCAATAAACACATTGTTTCCAATATTTCCCTATAAATATAGCAAATCATAACTTTGTATGTGCGCGTTAAAAATATAATTTCAAGGAATATTAAAAGATTTCAAATATTCTACTAAAAACAATTAAATTTGAACTTTTTTCATTTTATCAGGCCATCAGCCAATCAAAAAAGGCGACACAAAAAAGCGATGAGAGGATTGTTTCTCTATTTAAATCTTTCACTATGTCCACGTGTCTTTAATGAATGGCTTGCCGCCGGATTTATAAATTATGAGAATCTACTACCTTTATCTTAATATATTACCGCTTCTGACAACATTAATAGAAGCAAATGATTCAGACAATTCTCGAAAACCCGACACATCTACGAATTATTCCAGTTTGAATTCTTCTTTCTCCGTCGGACAAATCTCAACTTTAAATTCGTCGGAAACGAAAAAAGAAGGAAGCGGCTTGAACAACAATGTTTTTATTTGTATCCTTGTTTACTGATTTAATTTCTACTAACGAACGAGATCTTGAATGATTTGTTTTAAATATTGTAATAAATTAAGTAAGTAATAATTCACATTGAATTATGTGTTTAGATGTCTGCTCATATTCATTTCACGAAAGTTAAGAACAAATCAATTTTACAGTTTTTTTCACCTTTCTTCAGTTTTTGTTTTCTTTTTGTTGGAACTTCAAAACTCGAAAGCGGATTTTATTAAATAATTTTTAAATAATAAACCACGATACTTACACCTGATTATTTTTAAAAATTTCTTTTCTTTCTCTTTTTTGCTTCGAGAACAATTTGATAAATTGAATTTTGATGAATTGTCACGTTTTTTTTTTCGTTTTTTTTTTAAATCAAAATTGCAAATATAAAAATCATTTCTTAAAACTCTGTAATTATGTATTTTTAAATTATTACTTTGTTTTTTGATTCAACAATAAAAAAATAATTATAAATACGTGTTATTGAGATATTTTTAAAAACTTAAATTTTAAAAAGGTATGCAGCTGAATGGGGCATAAAGGGTTACTTTTTTAAATAATGTTTTCATTAATCGAATTTAACGGTTTAAATGTTATATGTGATAAGTATATAATAAGGTAGATTTATTTTAAATTAATAAGTTTTGTTCATTTCTCAAAAAAAAAACTTATATTCTTGCCTTTTCGTTAAACATTTTCTCTATAAAATAAATTCTTTATAGAAGCGAGTGAAGTAGTAGTTCGAGTATTTCACTAAGTTGTTGCTTTTATTAATGGTTATCTCCCCTTACGTACTGAACGACTCGTCCTTGTGCAGTTATGGATTTTTCTTTCTCTCTCATACCGACAAGTGTCTTCTTTTATCTATCATTTCCTTTCAGAACGTAATTGATTATGGCTCTCCTCCTGTTCCTTGTAGCTCTCAATAAGTTTTGTCTTTTTGTTATTCCTCCCAGACCCTGTTCTGCCATCCACTTAAGTCCATCAACTATGTCATGCATTGCTTTTCTTTGTCCCCTCTATCTGCCCTGTGAGTATCAGATTTTCCAAGCCCTCCTTTCTCATTACGTGTCCGGGAAATTCCAGCTACATCTTCCTTATGTTAAGTATAAGTTTGCTTCCTTCCCAAAACCTTATCGTTGCTCACATGTTTGGTCCATGGTCTCGAGTCCCTTCTTCATCTTTGAGGAGATTGTCTAACAGATATCATGTAGCAGTTCAGCAGTCTTTTCTTTGTTACCAACGAAACCCTCCTGTTTCATAATGCTCTGCTTTATGTGTGGTGTCCTTCCAGGACATGGGCAATCATGGATCTCCACAACTTCTTTTTTTTTTTTTTTTTTTTTTTTTGTATCTCTCTTCTGGCTTCTTGCATTCTGGTCAACTTTCATCTCAAAAATTTAAAAATGCAATGTAAATTACTATCTTGTCTTTTTATTTAATTTCTGTTTTATTGTAAAGGAATTTTTTATTTAGTAAAAAAAACCCTATGGGGGGGGGGGAAAATAGTTCAAACAGATGTTTGAGGTAACATTTAATTTATACACACAAGACAATATGAGCTGATTTTTTTTTTTTTTTTTTTTTTTTTAGAACAAATGATAAATTTATTATTAACACACAAAATAATGAATGAATTGCACAAATTAAATAAATTGAATGCCAAATGATGGCCAATGTAAAAAAAATAATCAATGCAAATAAAATTATCCCTTTTACAATAAAAATTATAATTCTGAATAAGGTCTGCAGAAAAGAAAACAACATGTAGAAAATACAAGGTGGTCCGAAAGTCTTGTCACCCCTATATAACATAATTTTCAATTTCAGATGGCTGACAATCTCCTCTAGGTATAACCATGAGATCGCTAAAAAAAAAGAGCATAGTCAGATGAAAAAGATGCCAAACTTGACAAAAACAAAATTTTATCGTCTAATTGTTTGTTACTATTAAGAGGAAAGAAGTAATTTTTAAATTATTTTAAAAAAATTTTCTGTCTTTATTAGAATATTCTAACTTTCGATTGAAAAACCTTGTTTCTCTTCGTCACTGGAACTCTAGTAAATAATATGGCAAATTTTTTGTGCATTTTTTTTTTTTTTTTTATGACATTAATTTTGAAAATCTTGCAAAAATAGAAATAATTGTCAGATTTTAATGAAACTTTCCGAAACTATTCAGGAATGATGGAAATTATTATAAATATGATATTTTTTTTAAAGTCATTATAAAAATATATTTTTTATACAGTGTAACCCGGATATAAGAGAGTTGTTGGGACCAGAGAAGAAGTCTCTTATATCAGGGTTTTTCTTATATCCGGGTTTGGTCTATATGTATACATTAACACAGACTCTAATTTGGGACCATATAAAATTTCTCTTATATCCGGGTCTCTTATATCCGGGTTACACTGTATATATATATTACCCCCCATAAATAATTTCATGGATCTGACAAAGATAATGGTGTTCGTACAGACCTTCTTGATGTATGACAGCATCAATGAAAGTTAATAAACTGAATTCAGTACATGTGCTCTTATTACTTGTAACTTCTATTCATCTTATTACCTTTTTGGTAGTGGGTTACAAGACTTTCCGACCACCTTGTATTTCTCTGAATAGTTCTCAAAGAATAGGTTGAATTTTTGAAGCAAAGTTCAGGATAAAAGTGAAGAATAGAACTCACACCAGCTGAAGAGTTTTCATTGATGTGGGAGCGACTTTAATCTTTCTTTAAATTGTCTTTCGTGGTTGTCAAATTTCTTCTCTATTACTTTTCTTTCTGGGTTCCAGCAGCAGATGTTCATTGACTCCTTGAATTAAATCCAAGACCCCCCCCTCCCTTTTATAACTTCCAGGTAGGCTTCAAATTCACTTCTCAAAATTTGGAGCAAAATCTTTTGATTGGTTCTGAATAAAAAAAAACAAAAAACAAATGCATCTTTTTTCCCACAAATTGGAATGTACAAAAATTATTTTTGAAATTCAAAAATTAAGCAACAGCCCAACACAGTGTCTGCTTTCTCTCAGAAAAGAAGACGATATATGCTGAAGCAGCTTAAATTTCTTATTATTGTACTCCTTTCTTAATAATCTTTTTTTTATATTCTTTTACACTCAATAACCTCACCACTTTGTGTCTTAGACGCTTTATTAGAAAAACTGATGTTACATAACAGTTCAGTGCTCTTTGTTTCTAACAAAATTTTCTCATTTGTTAATACTTTACTTAGCTTTTGGAAGGTATCTTTCGCTATTCAAATGTGCCTTCAGATTCCAGTAATCCTTTATAAATACAGAGCAACCTTGGTTCTCGAACATCTGACATGTCAAACAAATCAGTTTTTGAACTGAATATTCGAGATGAAAATGCCTTGGCTATCAAACAAAATGTCAGTTGTCAAACAAGATTACCAAACTGAGTTAACCTGAATGGAATCATTTCTTAGTCAACCACCATATTTCATACATTTATGTGTTGTGCTGTGCTTTTCTTTTCCAATTTTATTGTACTGTGCATTTTTTTTTCTCTTCATGAGTCCTCAGTCATGGCTCCAAAGAAAGCTAGCAGTGGTACTGGTAAAGGAAAAAGAAAAGTTAAGAGAAAAACAATTGTTGATGATATTGTCGCTTCCTACTCAATTTCATATGGCAAAAATCAACGATCTATACTATTCTTATAAATAAAAAGACTATCATGTCTTTCCTTTCTCTTTTCAAACAATAACATCTCTTTCCTCCCCCTTCCACTTACATCATCAACTCTCCTACTTACATGTACGGTAAAATTGAAGTGTACGTCTATATTTTATCTGTTTAGTATTGGGTTTATTTATTTATTTCTTAGATTTAATGATTGTCATTACATTTGTGTATAAACTTGTGCACAAAGAACTTTTGTAAAAGTTTAAATAAGCAATCATCTTGGGACCAGGAACGGAATAATCAATTTTATGTTGATTCCTATTGGAAAAATAGTTTTGGTTTACGAACAGGCTTCAGGAACGAAATAAATTTGTGAACTGAGGTTCCACTGTACTTGTTTGATTAACTGCTAGTGGCAAGAACTTTTTTTTATCTTTGAAGGATTACTGCTTGATGTATATACATCCACACACTCACACAATATAGTCCATCATTGACATCAATTTAATTAAAGTCTACATACAGCATTAACATTTCTTGTTTATATCAACTATAATGAACACTAATGAACTTCTGACCTTGATGTAGGTTTGTGATGCTTGGTGTGATAGACTTATCAACATCTGAGACAACTTGACCAAATAAAAAAAAATATTTATTGGCTAATTTATGTTCTTAAATTCTATAGTGATTTTCCAAGCGTAACTTAGATGTGGCACAAGGCCGAAAGTATGGGGCACCCAGTGAGGATCGAACTCACTACTCAGTCGTAATTGTTCTAGCGAGACAAGCTTGCTAACCATTACACCGCCTCGAGGTGCCTTAGTTCTTAAATTCTATATATGGTGTTCCAGTAACAAAAAAAAACATTTTTTTCATAATTCTGTTTTCAGTAATAATTTCTTGAATTCTATTTTCCCCATTATTTTCATGGTTTCCATTATTTTTTCCTTAACTCTTGTTAGACCAGAAATTGTTTACCCATCAACGTGGATTACAAAAAGAAGCCATTAATTCTCTTTTACAGATGCCAGCGGTTAATCAGTATAAGTTTGTCAAGAGTACAATGGATGAAATTTTTAAAGTGAGTTGATTTAATTTTAGAATTGTTTCAGGAATTAAAACTAAAACAAGTGACTATTAAAATCTCATACTTATCTGTTAAGTCAGGTATAAAGCGTTTGCTGAAATGGTTTGTCTTAACAATATTCATAGTTCTAGCTATGACCATAAACTATATCTTGTAACAAGGCCTCTGATTGGGAGATTGGAGGTTTTGCAGAGCATAGAACCACCTCTTAATTGATGTTGTTCCCAGGTCCACCCTGACACAGGGTGGTAGCACCTGTTAGGGTCTCAGCTATGGGCAAATATTGACCCCCCCACCAACCAAACAAAATTCAAAACACTAGAAATAGATTTTTATGGTAAAATACCAGAAATAGATATTTTATAAAAAAAAAAAAAAAATTACCAATAATCCATTTTTATAATGAAATTACCAACAATATATTTTATAGCAATAATACCAATAAATTTTATAATAAAATTACCAACAATACATTTTTATAGCAAAATAATACATTTTAAAGTAAAATTAAAGATAGGTATACATTGTTATAAAAAAAATGGCTATGATTAAACTAATTTCTTGTAAGGAAAAGCATGTTTTCACTGCTCATTTGATTTTGTAAGAATATTTGATAATAAAAATGTAGCTAAGTAATTATAATTTTATCATGAAATAATGCTGCTCAAAACTTGGCTCTCTGATTAAAACGATGCCGCTCAATACTTGGCTCACTGATGAAATAATGCCGCTCAATACTTGGCTCTCTGATTAAAATGATGCTGCTCAATACTTGGCTCACTGATGAAATAATGCTGCTCAATACTTGGCTCTCTGATGAAATAATGCTGCTCAATACTTGGCTCTCTGATGAAATGATGCTGCTCAATACTTGGCTCTCTGATGAAATGATGCTGCTCAATACTTGGCTCTTTGATTAAAATGCTGCTGCTCAATGCTTGACTCTCTGTTGAAATGATGCCGCTCAATACTTGGCTCTCTGTTGAAATGATGCCGCT